CATTTCGGAGCAGCACAGGGAGCTGGGCTCCCATTCAGAATTCTCTCCTGCTGGGACATTAATTTCCCCTCCCAGTGCTGATGATGGGCTCATTTGCCAGCAGCTCCAGCAGATTTTCGGGCAGCAGGAGGCTCTGGGAAGTGCCAGGGAGTGCAGGGTCACCCCAGGCCACGGCTGGAGCTCGCAGGGATGGAGCTGCGGCCTTGGAAATGCTCCTGGTGCCATCAATCCTTCAGGAGAACAGCCCTGGATCCCACACACCCAGCGGGGACATCCTCGCCACCAAGAGGGTTTGCTCCAAGTGCTTGACCCCTTCCCAAACTCCTMCTGTGTGYTCCTTTCCCTGGAATCAGCYGGATCCAARGGSTTTGTGGAGCCCCTGCCTCAACTCCTGGCTCTGCAAGACCAAGGCAGCTCCAGAAGCTGCTTTGCCCTGGGGCTCTCTACACAATTCCACCCTGAGCTGGCATCCTCCTCACCAGGGCCCTGGCACAGGGTGCCCAGAGAAGCTGTGGCTGCCCCTGGATCCCTGGCAGTGCCCAAGGCCAGGYTGGACATTGGGGCTGGAGCACCCTGGGATGGTGGGAGGTGTCYCTGCCATGGCAGGGGTGGCACTGGATGGGATTTAAGGTCCTTTCCAGCCCAAACCACTCTGGAAYTCCAGGACCCTYTACCCCGCAGCCAGGACTGAGCCAGAGGAGAGATTTGATCCATTTTCCTGGGCATGGAGGGGTCCCTGCAAGGCGGGTGCTGTCCCCAGAGTGGCCCAGCCCACTGAGGGGGTGCCTGGGGAGCCCTCAAATCCCGCAGGGATTGCAGGGAAGAGCTCCAGGCTGGCTGTGAGCAGCCTGGGGCAGGAGCCCATGGCAGGGAAGGGCACAGGGGAGGGGTTTGTTCGTGCCAGACCCTGCAGCCTCTGGGCCACCCCACTCAGAACCCAGTGCCTCCCCCGGGATTGCAGTCAAACGCAGCTGCTGAGCCCAGAATTCCCTCCGGCATGGATTTGTTCCCATGCCAGGGGAGCACCCATCGTGGTGACCCTGCCAGAACACCCCCACCCTAAAAATTGGGGTCCCATAATGCCACATCCCCAAAATTGAGGGTTCTATGACCCATCCCTAAAATTTGTCTCCACAACCTCCCCCAACCCCATAACTGGGGTCCTCATGACCCCTCCTCACCCCAAATTTTGGTCCCCACAATGCCTCCTCACCCCATTATTGGGGGTCCCATGACCCTTCTCCACCCATAATTTGGGTGCTCCTCCCACAATAATTTTGGGTCCCTCTGCCCTCCAGGGCAGACAGCAGAGCTCTGCTGGGAGAGCTGATTAACACAGGAATTCTCCTGGAGCTGTCTGGCCACACTCCCCACCAAACCCCTCTCGGTGCTTGGAGCCTTGGGATGAGCTGCTTTTCCCAGAGGAGCCACTGCTGGATTGTTCCTGGTCACTCAAGTCCAGGAAAGGTTTTTCCTGAGGGAGMTCTCCTGTCCTGCTGCTCTGAAAAAATCCCTGATCCCCCACCTGAGAATGGCAGAGCTCACAGAGGGGGTGCTTTCCTTGGCCCCATGGGATACACGAGGGATCCTGTGGGATGTAGTGCTGGAAAATAGACCAGTTTAGAAATTTTTATATAACTTTAGTCAAAKATTTTGTTTGCCTTTGCCCTGGGAAAGGGCGCTGGGATTTCTTTGCAGGACATTATTCCAGGTGAGGCCTGAGGAGCTGCACAGCTCAACAGAGCGGGAGTGGCACAAAAAATAATGAACATAATGACCATAATGACCATCAGTGACCAAAAAGGGCCAGCAGTGGCCATTAACAGAACACCAGCTCCAAAATTCCCCCCCTGGAATGGCCAGAGGCACCTGGTCTGAGAAAAGAGATAAGAAAGACCTGACCAGCATCAGAGACAAGAAATCCAGATCCAAGAGGAACCCAAACACTGAGAACTGCCCAATGTTGGACCAATGAACATTGAACCAGTGGAGTTTTCTGGCTTTGACTTGGTAAAGTTTGGGGAAATCTTGTAAAATCCACGTGTCATGGAATGATTTTCTCTGCACAGCTGGGCTGTGTGTGGATGAAATGATTTCTGTGACACATCATAGCCAGAACAACATCCTGGCCAAGAAATAAAGCAATGCCTTGACTTTTTAACATTAAAATGTTGTTGGAGAGTTTTTGTTTTTCCCGCGGTTTTGGTGACAGGAGGAGTTTTCCCCATGGGAGCACAGCTTTCCCTGGCTGGAGCAGCTGTGGATGCAGGGATGTGTTTTGCCCTCCAGAGCTGCCATCGCCTTCCTCCCRCTCGGAAAGCGGCAGTGACCGATCCCCCTCCACCCCCGATGCGGGAAAAGCCTCTCCGATATTAATAAGGATCTAATTCCCCATTTATTGTTCCATGAATTAATTACACCGCCGGTAGAGTTACCTTTTACACAGCCATTAAACTTCAGGAAGGCCTCTTTATACCACTCCATGGATAATTTAATTAGCATACTAATGTCTTATTAGCTATAAACCCAAAGCTGGGTTAGAATCTCTTCAATCCCAACTCCAAAGCTTTCAGCCACCCCCCAACCCCTCAGCCTGGGTGTGGGCAGAGGATGGGAGCGGGCTCAGCTCCTGGGAAGAGTTTTCCAGGGGTTTTTCTTCCCTGTAGCTGTCGGTGGTGGGATGCAGCAGTGCCTGCCTGGCACCCACAGGGCTGGGAGGGCCCAGAAGAGCCCCCAGCTCCTCTCCTAATTCTCACTTTATTCCCTATTCACTCTCCTTGGAATTTGCATTAATTGGAGGAGCCGTGGTAATCCATTAGGAACGGACAATTAAAGGCACACAGGGGTGGTGGGAGCTGGGCAGGAGCATCTGGGGGCTCGGAGGGGACAGGTTGATGTCACCTGCTCTATGGGACACCCCAGAGCTGAGGATGGGGTGGGTTCCCAAAGGATCCAGCCAAAGCAAGAAGGAGCAGAGGATGTTTGTCCCCTCAGAGGATGGTGTCCCCTCTGTCCCTCAGTCCTAGGAGRTTTGGGATCCCCCATTAAACCCCTGCAACTTCCATATTGTGCCTAATCCAAGCTTTGTGCATGGAGTCGGGATCCTCTCACCCCRTTTGCCACAATCCCAAACATCCCACAAGCACCAGGATCGGCTCTATCCCTTCTGAACCTTTTAAATCTCCCCGTTTCCATGTGAAACCCTTTCTAAAATGACCCCTYGTGCGATCCGGTTCCTCAGATTAAACTTTTTCCCCCTCTGCCCAGATCTTCTGAGCTAATAAATAGCTTAATTTGGAGGCTGGGAAATTGACTCAGAGGCAAAGTTTAACTAAATTGAAGAGCAAGGCTTCTGCTCGAGTTTAATAATCTGAAAATAATTGATTAATTTGCATGATCCCTCGTAATTGCTTCAATTTACACCCAAGAGGCCACTGTCATCAATAGATGAATAAGACATAATTTTTTAAGTCCCAATAATGCGTGGAATGGAATTTCGGAGATTCGCTCGTCGCACAGCCCCAGCTCAGCTCCACTCCCAGCACAGGGCACTCATTGTGAGAGAAATTGGGCTGGAATGGAATTAATTTGTTGAGGATGTGACTCCATTCATTACCCTCGGGAAAAGGGAGGTTCCAACCCCGCCATGGGAACGCCAGCGTTGAGGCAGAGCGATCCCAATGGGATGAGGACAGTGGTGACAGCCCAAAATAAAGAGGTGAAAGCCCYAAATTTGGCCTGGGTGCTCCTTGAGGATGACAGGGCCAGCACCTCCTGCAAGATTCTCCATCCCCAGCTCAGCTTTAATTGCAATTAATGAGATTCCAGCAGGACCCGGCRCTTCCAAAGGGGCTCGACCCACAGCAGAGAAAAGCAGGAATGAGGGCAGGTGAGGAGCAGAGCTCTGGAAGGCATTCARGCCACACAATGGCCCTTCAAAAACCACAAATCCAACCTYCACAAGGTCAAGAAACAAAAATCCWGCATGAAAGGGGGGAAACAGGAAGCCGGCAAGGAACAGCGAGGAATGGCAGCAAACAATGGATAATTTGAGTCTGGCAGGAACAGGAAAGGCTGCTGAGGAACCAGCCAGCTCTGCTGGAGTTAAAGGCAACAATTAAGGGAGATGAGGACGCAGCTGAGGAGCGAAATGATTTCATTTCAGAAGTTCTCACCTCGGGGGGATGTCGGGAAAAGTCTGCTCCCGACGTGCTCCTCKCTGGTAATAAAGGTGAGCTGCTATTAAGGATTAAGGGATCAAATGAAGAGGTGCCGGTGCAAAAATAGGGAATTTAGAGAATATTGAGTCCCTGGGCCTGTGTGGGACATTCAGGGGGTGTAAATGCCCCAATAATGCCACGGCTGAGCTGCTGGCTGAGCTGTACCCATGTTCATCCCGCTGGAAAAGCTCCGTGGGATCAGAGGGGCAGGGCAGCAGAAATCCCTGGGGCTGTGTGAGCAGAGTCTGGAAATCTGGGAAGGGCAGCCTGGRGAGMCCTGAGAGGGTACCAGAGACWGSRATKGGGGTCAGAGGCCTTGGGAKGGTACCAGAGACAGSAATGGGGGTCAGTGCTGTAGGAGGRTGAAGCTCCTGCCTGCTGGGATCCATCCTCGGGATGCTGAGGGGATTTGGGCACGGGGATCCATCCCCCGTGCATTGCTCCTTGCCAGCTCCTCCTGCCCCATTTCACTGAATCCCAGAATCCCAGAATKGTTTGGGGTGGGAGAGACCTTACAGCTCATCCCATCCCACCCCTGCCATGGGCACGGACACCTCCCACCATCCCAGGGTGCTCCAGCCTGGCCTTGGACGTTTCCAGGAATCCAGGGGCAGCCACAGCTTCTCTGGGCACCCTGAGGCTTCCCCACCCTTTCAGGGAACAATTCCTTCCCAATATCCCGTCTAAATCTCTCCTCCTTCATCCTGAAGCCCTTCCCTTTGTCCAGTCTCTCCAGGTCCTTGTGGAAGCTCTCTGCAGGACTCTGGGATTGCAGAGATGAGGAAATGTCTCAGCTTTGCCCCTCCTGCCTGGCTCTCCTGTGGAAATCTCCTGAAAGTGGAGASACAGAAAAGGTTTTGGGGCAGGAAAATGGTTCAGGTTGGAAGCAGGGTGTGCTCAGCCCTTTGTGCCCATTTCTGACAGCACAGAACACGGAATTATTTCTTTCTCCTCGAGTTTGCTTCCTGAAATCCAGCGCGTTGTGCCTTCAGTTGTCATTCCCTGCCACCCTGTCCCTAAGAAAGATGGGATGGGGTCAGGACAGGTGACACCTGGCTAATCCAGACACCGGGATTACCCCACAGCCATAGGATCCTCCCCAAAGATCTCTCCTCCAGAAGGACGTCCAAAATTCCAGTTTTTTCCTCAYCCTGGACACATTTTCCCAGCTGTGACTCCTTCCCACATCCTGCCACCATCCTGACCCTAAATCTGGGCTTCAGACCTCTGAAGAGTCAAAACAAAGTCTCTTTGGTGATAACACCCCATATTTTAGGGATCCTGCACAGCTTCTGTGCCCAGGAGAGTTTTCTGCCTTAGAGGGACCCCTCAGCTCCAGCTCAGCTCTGCTTTGGACTGTGATTTCCAAAAGAAACCCTGAGATAAAATCCCAGCCCTGAAATAAAGGATTTTTCCCAACCCCCGGGTGTCCCTCGCTGTCCTTTGYGCTCCAGCCCCGTTTCATGTGGATGTTTCCAGCCCAAGGGCACGGCAGTGATCTCCAGCAAGGAATGGAAATGCAAACACAGGGCTGGGGACACCCTCTGGGTGATTTGTGGGATGGAAAGGCCACAGAGGCACGGGGAGGGCTGGAACACTTCGGTGACTTTTAAAAATCCCCGTTCAGCTGTGCAGGTATTTAGGGGAGAGATAAATTTGGCTGCTGCTGTGCTGGCTGAGGCAGGGATGGGAGATGGCCTGGGAGCCATAAAGTCTCTGTCCTGCAAAGACCTTGGATCTGCTGCTGATCCCATCCCTGCATGGCAAATGGGCTCCCTGCTGCTCCTGCCTCCATTTCCTTTGGGGTTTGTCATCACAAGGCTTAAAAAGATTTAAAATCACACAGGAAACAAAGAGTGACCCAGCACAGGGGCTGCGGGACAGCCCACCTTTGGGAAAAATCATCCAGGATGATTCCAAAATCTGGAAATCAGAATAGTTTGGGTTGGAAGGACCTTAAAGCCAAGCCCATCCCTTCCCATCCCATCCCATCCCATCCCATCCCATCCCATCCCATCCCATCCCATCCCATCCCATCCCATCCCATCCCATCCCATCCCATCCCATCCCATCCCATCCCATCCCATCCCATCCCACCCCTGCCATGCTCAGGGACACCTCCCACCATCCCAGGCTGCTCCCAGCCCCAATGTCCAACCTGGCCTTGGACACTCCAGGGATCCAGAGGCAGCCACAGCTTTACCTTGTACCTGAATTCCCTTCCCAGCATGTGTCAGAGCACTGCAGTGCCCCGGGATTGTTTTCCCCATTTCTGGATTTTCCCCGTTAAACATGGAGTTTATAATATTTCTATCCTAGTGCTTTTCTGGGGCCCGTAAACAGTGGCTGGAACTCTACAAACTGACTCCCAGAATACCTGGGATGCTGGAAAAAACCTGGGAAAAGCTGTTCCATCAGCCAGGAACATCTACAAGCTGACAGCCTGTGAGTTTACCCGGGCAGAGCTGCAGCCGTGTCGTGCTTCCAATTTCATTTCCATGTTTTCCTGAAGAGAAGAAGAAGAAGAAAAGTGTCTCGTGTTTCCTGGGTGACTGGGGGAGGTTTGATGGTGCCAGGCAGCTCTGAGCTCCTCCTGCAAGATTTYCTGGGTGGCAGACAGACAGCATCAGGCTGGCGAGACAAGGAAAAGTCTGGGAAGATGATGTTTTATGGAGATGTGGGGTTTCACCTTGTTCTGCTCACCTTTGACAGAAATCACACCGTCTGTGCATTGAGGTTTGAGGKCTGAGGCAGCTCCAGATGAGACCCATTCCTAAATCCCTCTCTGCTCCCAGARAGTCACAAATCTCTGCCCTTCCCTCCTGGAGAAATCCTGGCTCTGTGCTGATGGCATGGGGAGGAATTTTGAGGGATGCTGATGGATGTGAGGAAAATTAATCCACAAACAGTGGAGGTTTATGTCCAAAAAGGAGACAGAGGAGTCCTGTAGCTTTATTCATGAATAAAGAGAGAGGCCATGGGCATTTCCATGGGGTCTCTCAAATTGATAGAGGACTCAGCCTCTTTTACCCCAATTTCCTAGATGCAGTTCCCTCTCTCTTTCCCCATGAGGGACTGGAGGGGTACAGACTCCCAGAAATTCCTAATGCAACACCCCCCCAATGTACATCCCCCCTTTAATACACATTTCCATGTCTCTGTTTTTGCAGTTCATTAACGCAGGCTGGGCTCAGTCAATCAGGGAATTCCCGTGTAAATCCTTCCCACTGTTCCCTTCCATCTCCCAGTATCTCTCTCATCTCACCCTCAGAGTCCCAGTTTGATTGTAAAGATGCTCCCTTCTTGTTCCTTCCGTGGAGAAGGTCAGGATGGAGTGGATCCAAGGACGAGGAGCAGGTGGGGCGAGCAGCGACRCAGAGGGAGGGGCTGCACGATTCCAGCGCGCTCAAAACCTTCCTGTCAATCCTGACATCCAGCCCGTGGCTGCCTCCAGAAATTCTGAGTGGATTACCAAAGTTTTCGCCCTCCCAGGAGCCTCCCAGCTTCCAGCTGTCCYCTCCTCAGCAGGGAGCTGCTTCCCTTCAGAGCCGAGCGAAGAGTGGAAGGCAGGAGAGAGGCAAAAAAAAATCATGAATRTTAATTTGGATTCGAGTGAATTTCAATTAGGCTGCGTTCGGGCTCCACAAATATTTGAGCAGCACTCCTGCAAACAGGGGGAAAAGCAGATCTGTAACTTTAACACACAAATATTCACAAAAGATCAATTCTGAGCCCAGTGCTCACCATTCCTGCTGGYTCCACTGGAGTCCCACTCCCATTCCGGGCCCTGCTTGGGTGGAGGAGGCAGCAAACAGAACAAATATTCTGATTTAAAGGAGTCTGCGGGGTGTGGGTGCTGGATCACGAGCTGGGGATGCTGAGGCTGGTGAAGTGCCCTGGTTCCTGGCAGCTCAGTGGGGCAGGGTCAGGGGCAAGAATGGGCAGAGACAGAGATTGTGGATGGGGCTGCAGGGGCTGGGGAGGAGCTGGCAGCAGRAAACCACTGCCAGGAACATTGGGGTGTGGAGATCTGGGAATGCCCTGATCTGCCGGGAATCCCAAACTGAAGCTTGAGGAGGCTATCCCAGGATGGGGCATCCCAGTGGCACTGATGGCAGCTCAGGAGTGTCAGGATCATCCCAGAATCATGGGTTGGGTTGGAAGGGACCTTAAATATCATCCCATCGCACCCTTTGCCATGGGCAGGGACACCTCCCACCATCCCAGGTTGCTCCAAGCCCCAATGTCCAGCCTGGCCTTGGGCACTGCCAGGGATCCAGGGGCAGCCACAGCTTCTCTGGGCACCCTGTGCCAGGGCCTCCCCACCCTCACAGGGAACAATTCCTTCCCAATATCCCATCCATCCCTGTCCTCTGGCACTGGGAAGCCATTCCCTGTGTCCTGTCCCTCCAGCCCCTGGAAATCATCCCTCTCCGTATTTCTTAAATATCCTTCAGCCCCTGGAAGGTCACAGTCAGAACATTCCAAAGCTTTTCCTCTCCAGGCTGAGCAATCCCAGCTCTCCCAGCCTTTCCTCACAGAATCCAGGGAATTCCAGGTGATTTTTCTCTCTGATCCCACCCTTCCTTGGCTGCAGATTCCCATGGCCAATACCCARCCAGAGGAAGGTCAGTGGTACTTTGTGGGGTGCAGGGTCTGGGCAGGACCCAGGGATGGGAAATCCCACTCCTGGAAATGTGAGCATTCCCAAGGGAAAGGCCCATCAATAATGAGAACCTCATCCCTGTCATGGGGATTTGGAATCCTTCTGATGTTTGCAAGGATTTCAGAAGGAAAAGGGAAAAAGAAACAGGGCAGAGGATCTTTTGCTGTTCCTCAGTGGTGGAGAGGTGGGSACAGGGAAAAAGTTCCAACTGTGGTAGCGCCATGGGCTGTCCCAGCCTAGCAGGGGGTGCACAAACCATAAATCCCATAAATCTGCTCTGCAGGGCTTGTCTGGCTCCCAGACATTCCCCAGCCCACTGCCACTGTCACACAAGGGGTTGTGGTGGATTCACCCTTTGGGTGGGAAACGCTTTTCCTCAGGGATCTGATCCTGGCACTGCCCAGGACAGAGAATCCATTTTCCTGGACTTCAGAGGTCTCTGCTGTGCCCTATCCAGGTCATTTTTAGGGCAGAAATGGCACTTCCCAGCTGGGTTGTCTTGTCCTGGGTTTGATGTTTCAGTCCATCAGGGGGGTCACACCCCACATTCAGTTCCWTGTCCCCAGCTGGAAAAGGATCCCAGAGGAACAGCTCGAATGTAAACATCTCAAACGGAAAAATTCCCGCTCCTGTGTCTTTCTCCTGGGAATAAGGGCTTTTTCTGTCCCCTGGCCCAGCCTTTGGGGTGAGAGAGTTGAAAGCAGAGGCAGCTGCTCCTGTTGGGAAGGGATTCCCATTGTGGGGCCGGGGAGCTGATGGATGGTTGGGTTCCTTGAGAACCCGAGGTCGTTTCTGCCTTTTCACGGTGCAGAAAGGAACAATAACAGCAACAAATAAAGAGGGCAGAATGGTGAGAAATGAGGGCCGGACAACAAGTGATGAATAGGGCATTTCCTGAGACAAACAATCACCGGGGGTTTGGGGCTTTGGGGGCTGCTGGGGCCTTCAGTGGCTCCTTAAATCAAATAAAGAAGGGGATCACATTGAGCGGGGTGGRGGCCCTGATTTCTGAGGGAGACTCCGTGAAGAAATGCCCATTAAAGCCCAGCCTGACAGAGCCAGGGCYAACAGGGACTGTGAAAAACCCGAAAAGTGGTGTTTCCTGCAAAGAGCTTCACATTTCTGAATATTGTCCCGATCCTGCAGTTTTCCACTTAGGAAGGAATCCCTGCATCCTCCTCCCTCCTGTCTCCTTCTCTGACAGTTCTCAGGGTGGATTCTGTCATTCCTGTCACCGTGGAATTCATTTCCATCCCCCCCAGCGGACTCCAAAAGAAAAAAACCACATGCGATAAGTCAAAGAAATTAAATTTTAAGCTGCCTGTCGAAGAATAATGAATGTGAAAGACGTGGTCTTTGGTAAAAATCCTCTCCTTTCAAATGCTGAGATTGGGGCAGCACTATCTCCGAGGAAAAGTACACAAAAAGCTGCAATCAAAATGACCCCTCCAAAACATAAAGAGGAGTTAATGGGATTGCTCTGAATTCCAAAGGGGTGCTGCACGCCAGCCCGAGCGGGCCTTGCAGTGGGGCATTTGTAATCTGCAATTCCATTAAGCAATTTTAATATAGTCTTTGAGGGTGGAAAGTGGTCGTTAATAAAAGTTTAAATTAAAGGCTGCTCTCTGTCGGATTAGATCATTAAAATTGCAGCGTCCTGGCGGTGGCCAGGCTCGGCGCTGGAGCCAGCCCTAAACACGCTCTGGCAGAGAGGAATTCCAAAGAAAACAGGGAGAAAAGGAATAAAACAATTTGATACATGTGAGTTATGATTCGATAGCGTGTTTAATGAAGAGAAAAATGTGATCGTATTTCATCAGCGCTCGCGGTAATTCGGGAGCGCCAGTGGAGGGGATGGGGCACAGAGGGAGAGGGTTCCTGGTGGGCAGTGGGACCAGGGCAGCTCCTAAAGTGGTGAACATCCCATGGGGCGGAGAAGAGGTGGAATTTCCTCCTGAAATTTCCATGGGTACGACTGGGCTGAAAATTCCCAGATTGCTCCATGAGTGTCCTGGGCAGAAAAGCAATTTGTATGTCCAGAAATGGTGATTGCCCTGGAATTTGGGCAGCAGCAGGATGAGCACACTTCTCCTGGAAATACTTCCCCAAAAGATTGAGAAATGATCCTGGAAGGAGGTCCTGGAAACCAGGATGGATGGCTGAGCATGCATCACCTGAGGTGGTGCAGGATATTTCGGAGGACAGATATATATGTAGGATATATATATTTATAGGGAACCTGTGATATATTTATATCTATTTCTATATATTCATAGGAAACCTGTTGCTTCTCTTCACATTTTGCATCTCATGCAAGGCTAAAGAGGACTTGTGCTTGTGCTGTTGCTGTGCCTGATCCTGAAAAAAACCCAA